GGGAAGGATATTGCAAAATCTCCATTCCTCTCCACTCCAGGGGAAGGATATTGCAAAATCCCCATTCCCTCCCCACTCCAGCGGAAGTATACTGCAAAATCTCCATTCCTCTCCACTCCAGGGGAAGGATATTGCAAAATCCCCATTCCCTCTCCACTCCAGGGGAAGGACACTGCAAAATCCTCATTCCCTCCCGATCAGCTGGGTCTCGGGAGGCAGAGACTGGGGGCGGGGCCAGCCAGAGGTGGCATTTGCCGGTTTTCTGAACTACTCAAAATATCCTCTACCGGTTCTCCACAACTGGTCAGAACCTTCTGAATACCACCTCTAGCCTGGAGATTGCTACCAGTCCACAGACTGGGGGTTAGGGACTCCTGTTCTATACCTTTCCGAGGTCATTGTCTCGGTGCAAAAAAGGAAAAGAAAGGAAACAGAAAGTCTGCAAAGAGAAGAGTTTCCAGCTGCCATTTCCTCATTTGCAATATGACCTATTTCTGAACTGTGATTTGCCTTTGCCCAATTTAAGAGACTTGATTTATTCACAGGCTTTGGCTACTCGCTAGCTCCAGTGTCTCCGTCTGGGATTAGTAAGACCAGATCTAAAAAAAGAGCGATGCGCCAGACTAAAGGCTGACTAATGAATATTCGAATCCCCCACCCTCTGCGTAATTCATCCCATTCATCCCTCACCCTCTGCGTAATTCATCTCAAGCTCCCTACTGACGTGGTTTCCTTGTTGTAATTCAGATTACAGGACCGGCCCGTGCTTCACCTTGGTGACCAACCAGATGTGCCAGGGGCAGCTCAGCGGCATCGTGTGCACCAAAACCCTCTGCTGCGCCACAGTGGGAAGAGCTTGGGGACACCCCTGTGAAATGTGCCCAGCCCAGCCCAGCCCTTGCCGAAGGGGATTCATCCCAAACATCCGCACAGGAGCTTGTCAAGGTAAGGTGCCTCGCAATCTTTCTTACACGGCTCATCCTCGATCACAACAGAGCCCCACCTTTCTGTTGTTAAGCAAGATGGTCGTTAAGTGAGCCTGACCCCATTTTGCAACCTTTTTGCATCAGCTGTTAAGTGAGTCACTTTAGTTGCGAAGCGAATCATGTCGTCATTCAGCGAACCCAGTGGTGGGTTGGTACTGTTGGTACTACCGGTACACTGATCACGTGCTCGCATTGTCTGTTCGTGCACGCGCCTGACTTGGGCCGTGCCCGCGTGCGCAATCCACCGCCCCCTGCGACAACCAGCTGATTGTTGGGGCTCACGCAGGCACCCCACGCTGTGCCCACGTGCACAATTTTCCATTTGCTGTAAAAACAGTTATAGAGGGCGGGCAGGCAGGCAGGCCAAGAGAGCCACTGTACCGGTACGCTCTACTGATACAGCTGTACCGGGCTGTACTGGCAGCAACCCACCTCGGAGCGAATCTGGCTTCCCCATTGATTTTGCTCACCAGAAGTGGGCTGGGAAGATTACAAATGGTGATTTTACATGCAACTGTCATAGCTACATGCCAGTTGCCAAGCGCCCTAACCTGCAGTACTGCAGGCCGCTTTAGCTGACTATGATCTGCAGTTCAGCGGTTCAAATCTCACCGGCTCAAGGTCGACTCAGCCTT